ACAGATACAGTCATACGGCTGAGAGTATCTGAGAAGCGAAGGACAGTTTGAAACTTGTGCCAAGCTTTCACGAATAAAACTTTGCCTTTGAATATGTATCTTCATTCATGTTTGCTCAGGTAGATTTTCAACCACAATTTCGGTAATTTATTTTTCTATAGTACAAAGCTAAACAATGCACTATTTGGGCTCTTTCCACTGTGGGAAATCGACCCCATGGTTTTAGTGTTTTGAGTCGCGAAGTATCACGATTATTCTAAGTTTTGCAGGTATACACACCACTGATATCACAACATAATGTTACATCAGGATCATTTCCCGCGATTTTGCACTGTAACAAACGAAAAACAGCTAGTGAAACACAAACATGATTAAAAAAAAAAACTCTTAGTAGGGGTGAGACTTAGAAATTTCCGAGATGGGGTATGACTGTTGCGTCACTCCGTCGTATTGTTAAAACAGTATTACTTGGTGACATAAATGTGAAGTAATTACAAAAGCTATTTATGAAGCTTGATTAAATAACATATTTTTTTTCTATACTCTGACACTTTTATTTATCATATAAAACATTTAGACACATTCGACTTAGCTAATTGATCTATGACGCACTTCTCGGAATAAATGTATCAAAACTAGATAAAATATATTCCGCTGTGTCATAGTAGCTGAATATTTCAGAATTATTTAACTAGAATTCGGACTGTCAGAGAAACAACACAATAAAATTTAATTGCATATTCTAAATTTCTAGTAGTTTCGTTGATTAAGCCATCAGAACGTTTTAAGTCATATTAGATTATCAAACTTCCCTAATTCGATACACTATCCTCCTATAGAAACAAATGTAATATATAAATGGAAAATATTAACATAAGTTGAGACAAGTTTAAGTCTGTGTACAGTCCTACCCACCTATAGAAACACCTTCTACGTTTATAAAACACACACAATGCACCTAGTAAGACCATCCGCCTATAGAACTTTAGTAACACCATCAGCCGTTGTAAGGATATGTAAGTGAAAACTATAAAGTAACATGTGTAAAATGAAATAGTCATAGAGGAATAGCATACTTATGTCAAAAAGACAAACTAGTGAAACAGTAAGATTGTCGTTAAAATAATGGTTTTACTTCTAACTTTTAGTACACACATAATTAAATCTAGACATTGTTGACGTAATCACATGTTGAGACACCGTATGATGAGCTCATCATCCTATTTAACTATCCATTTGTAAAATCACCATCCACTCTAGCAGCATTAGCCTTAGTAATACGATTTGAAAAATAATACCATCCGCCTATAAAGCTATAGTATCACAATCCACCTACTAACCCTATCTCATTTTCTAGTATAAATAAATTTATAAATGAAAACTACAATAAAATGAAATAATTTGTCAAGAACCCTTTTATTATTATGCTAAGCAAATAAAAAATACAAATAATAAATTTACATCTTTAGAATATACAATTAAATTTAGAAATTAATGACAAATTGAGACACCTTACAATGAGCTCACCATCCTATTGAACTAGCTGCTAATAATAGCGCTATCCGCCTTTGTAAAACGTACGTAAGCAAACACTATAAAGTCGATAAGATTAAACTAGCAGATTGTTTTACTTACAAAGTGAAACTGTAAACAAAACATTATGAAATTGTATTAAATTATTAATGTTAAGACTTTGTTACTATAAAATTAATGTCATGTGGAACAGCATCAAACCACCGTTCCCTCTGATGCCGCCCCCCGGTGGCACAGCGGTTTGTCTGCGGACTTACAAAGCTAGAAACCGGGTTTCGATACCCGTGGTGGGCATAACACAGATAGCCCATTGCGTAGCTTTGTGCTTAAATTACAAAACAAACAAACCCTCTGGTGCTACGTAGTGACCATAGCAACGCGCCATCCGGTGACAACTTCGGTCGTCAACTGTCATGGCGGAATGACAACTTCCGTTATGTAAGTGCGAGGGTATCTATGAACTTATCTGCTTTCCTCTGCGATCAAACGACGTTTTGTCTAATCACAAACATTTGCTGACCTGTCTTATATTGTATGGCACACAACCTGAATTATGTGATTCGTAAGGTCTACTACATTGGCGGACTTTGTGGTGTACATTTTAGTCTTGAGAAGACCTCAAAAATAAAGTCTGAGATGAGAGTAAGGTCTGGTAGTGTTGGAGTGGCCACTGGCCATTATAGGGGACCATCACGACCAAATCGTCCTAAGACGCTTGAACTGGGGGAGCTGGAGTTGCTGACACATCTAAGAGAATCGTTGCATTTTATTTGTGCAACATCTGTTTTGCGTAATTAATTAATTAATTGTCTTATTGGTTTTTAATGCTATATAACATACATTTTTGGCTCGTATCGCTGTGTCTTACTCCTTAAAAAACTCCGTTGGTTTGATCTGTGCATACGATTATGAAGTGACAAAAAAAATGATTATGTTCTATATATCTAAAAATTAGTTTTAAAAAGTATGCACCAATATCGCTCAACTTCAGCGCCCCCACCCTTAAATTCGGTTCCGCACCTCTGAAACCATCGCCTCCCTAAACTACCAAAATGCAAATACAACGAATATTTATTACGATTTACATATGAATATTCTTTCAGTTTTTGTTTTCGTGGAATCCCGTAAACCGACAAGGTTGATGTGACGGAACGGTGGTTAAAAAACCCTGACCTAATCTATCGTAAACCGACAAGGTTGATGTGACGGAACGGTGGTTGAAAAACCCTGACCTAATCTATCGTAAACCGACAAGGTTGATGTGACGGAACGGTAGTTGAAAAACCCTGACCTAATCTATCGTAAACCGACAAGGTTGATGTGACGAAACGGTGGTTGAAAAACCCTGACCTAATCTATCGTAAACCGACAAGGTTGATGTGACGGAACGGTAGTTGAAAAACCCTGACCTAATCTATCCCTCCAAAATTAGTGACGACTACCGCAGATATCGCCTCTGTAACTTTGCGCTAAATTCACGAAACAAACCTACGATCTGCGCTGATTATCTCATCAATTTTTTGGCAATAATTTATATGCTTACGAGTTAGGAGCTCATATAGCACTTAACTGTATTTTATATGGAGTTACATTAAGATACCGATTTTTCAGCCCAGAAAACATCGAAGTTCGAAGTCTGAAAGTTGGCTTTGTAAGGATCATATCATAAGCAGTCCTTACAAATGTCTGCTGAAGTTTTCACACTAACAGGCCTACCTCCCTACTGTAATTATCACACTAATAGACCTTCTTGCCTGCTCTTTTCACGTGACTGAGGCGTGTCTTTTGCCATCTGTGGAGATCTTGTTTAAAACTGTATGGCTTGGGGTTTTCCCTCAGTTAGATATTTTATAATATTGTTATCGATATACTCCGATATAATTATTTTTGTAATTTGTGTCAGTTATTTCTATTTCTAAGTTACTCTAATTCGTAGCATGTCATTAGTAAGATATTTAGCCAAATGTTTTGTTTTATAAATGTGTTGATAAGTAATCTCTATTTATCTGCTCAAGCTGTCGTTCGGCTTAAAATTCTTTAAGGTATTATTTATTCCACGCCATTTTATAAATTCCACAATTTCTGCCGTTTATATCTCAGTTGTTATGTTGCCCAGAGACAGAAGTTTGTAGTAATTTCTAGCGTTCATTCAGAGACACATGTTGATTAGGCTAGACCCGTTCCTTTCAGATTATTTAACATTCATATTTGCTTTGATGATCAAATCTTACACGGTTCGCTCATTACTCGTGGCCAGCAATGAAAATATCTCGCATTGAAATAATATTCCTACTTAATACAATTTTTCTTCAAGTTCGATAATTTGTTGCTAGTTGATAAGAATATTTAATTAAGAAAACGCCTGGACTTGAAACAGTATATATATATATCTATATATATTAAGAAATAGCTTATGTAGAAAGGAGAGGATTTCCGTTTGCAGTCTTATCGTTTTGTCTGTTACCGGGCGATATTATTGTTACCAAGCGGCCAAAATAATTGTGAATAATTTCTGAAACCGTTGTCCAGGGGATAAACTAAACCAATTATCCACTTCTTATAATACAAAAATTATTGTGAGGTTGCATGATTAATACACTGACGATATTGTTATAAAATATTTTTTAACTACAATAAACTATTATAATGTTTAAATGTACATTTTACAACATGTACGTATACATACACATTTTGTAATATTGAGATGAAGAACGTTTGATTTCCACGGAGATTACCTGGTTCTGAAATAAGTCTGATAATTGTGTAAGAATGTTGAAGGTCATAATTTCAGACCACGTGATGTTTTGTACAGTGTATTATAGTTTCTTCAGATTGTTAAAAACTGGAGTTGATCTTGTTATTCATCTGCATTATAAAATACAAGATAATCACAATTACAGCATAAGTTTATTTTAAATATCCCTCATTTAATACATCACCATTATGTACTTTATTGGATATTAAAAGAAATAGTACGAGAACTCTAAAAGCTGTTTTTCGGTGTTGAAATCACAATACTGTCTAGACCAGACAAACGGAAACTGTGATGTTAGGATGTACTAAGTAATCTCTACAGTAAACTGTTGTTGCACAAATTTTCCCTTCTTATTCTTACTAAATACCGAGTTTCTTTATTGCCAATTTCAAGTTTTATTCTTCACGCTCTGATAACTCTCATGCTAGAAACCGTGAATCAGGGCAAAATTTTGTGTTTTGGTTCGTGGGATTACATAACGTTTTGTACATTCCCCGTAGAAACATGCAATCACCTTTTCGTACCCCCTGTTTTCCTAATCCACCAATTTCACAGCAAATAGAACCAGTTGAAACTAGGCGCTCACGGACATTTCCCGAGGAAGGTCGTGCCTTTCCTGTGTTATCTCTACCCATCCATAACCAGGTTTCTCCGAAACTTACGCCACCTACAGGGAACAAGATCTTAATCAAGTCTCTTCTTTTCGACCTTAACTGTAAAGACTTTTATGCAGTGTTCATTAGGCGAGTTGGGACTTTCTTCTGTGGACGCTAAAGCGATCAATTTCAGATTCGCAGGCTTTGGTAGCAGTTGGGAAGAAACCGTTACCATTATAATCTTTGCGAGGGTTTCATTGTAGGCTATTGAAAAACGGACAACGTGTGTTGGTCAGTACAAAAAGTTTATTAGTCGCGTTACACACTTGATGTTCAGGAATCTCCGACAAATAATCGGTAAGATTAATACTGACGAGTTGAGACAATCTTGTAACAAAGTTCTTTAGTTTTTGTATTATCATTCTCTAACTCTTATTACTGGTACAATGATGTGTTCATCAAAAATCTATTCTAAAAATACTTCTGGTAGGTTCACACTGAACCAAAGTAGCTTTTAGAAAATAAAAAACGGGTAGTGATTCTATAACTAAGTATATTGTGGTAATTAAGAATTTTTTCTAAGTGTGAGAATACGACAACTACCAACATTAATACTAACGGACAATGGCGGATTCATAAATTTCGTTTGGGAACGTTAACTTTGGAATAGGATTAGTATACATAAGGTTGAATGGACACGTAAACTGTATTTATTTAACAATTTACTGAACATTTATAATCCTTTAATACATTTGTATAATGTCTGCTATCTAATCAAATTTCAATATGTCTATGTACTGTAAGTTCCATTCCTGAATATAATTGTAAATAGGTACTACTACCACTTTCATCTCTGGGAAATGTTATCAAAATTAATTCAATATATTTTCAAATAACATTCTTCTTGAATGCTTTTTGGCGAAGGTGTCTGCTACTTTGTTTGTCTATTGAGCTGGAATAACATGCATTCATTAGAACAGGATCGTTCAACCGTTCTTGACTCATTATAGATCTTCATGTCTTTAAAATACTAAATTCACTCCAAGTGTGTTCACATTGTACACACGATTCTCAAAAAATCTGAATATTTGGAAAGCCTATTGTGTTGCATTTTTTAAGTTCCCCTGTAGCTGTGTTTGGATTTTGATCCACCACTTTCCATGTTGCTTTACAAAGTCTTAGTTCAGATGAAATTCCACTAGGGCTGGGCAAGTAAGCTGCACTTTACAAAGCTTTAGTTGTTGATGTTGTCGGGTTGTTAAATCTAGCACCTAAAGATGGCAACAGTTCATTCAGGTATGAAATTACTATTACTTGTCTTCAGCTATCTTCATAATCATAGATACTACTGTGCTGTTAAACAGTTCCTTAGCTACCGGTCCATGATTTGACGGCGGTCCATCAAAACCATTTTGCTTGCCCCTGGGATTTCACGAAAACCAACAAACTGACAGAATATTCATATGTAAATCGTAATAGTTTTTGTTGTCCTTGCATTTTATTTTTAGTGGTTCGAAACAGTCGAGAAGGTGGCGAGCCGCTCCTGGTATCGAAAAAATTAAAGCATTGCCCTGAAACACTTACCAATATCGCTCATGAGGGCGCACTCGACCTTACGGGGTGATCCGCAAACTTTCACAGCAATGTTTTTTGTAGGTTGGTAGGTCTAGGAAATCTATATTCAGACTCGGGGGTGGATTGGAGCACCGCAAGGCCTCCCCTAAATCCGCTACCGAGTTAGCCATCATTACAAAATATTGTACTCCAGATGTTAATAGATGTTAAGGCTGTATCATTCTATGCTCAGCTTTTCCACTAATTTGTACCTGAAATATTTTATGAAGTTCTTGGTAGTAGATAGTGCTCGTAAAATAATTTATTGGTATATAGAACAACGTCAATAAATAAATAAATACCTAATCGGATAGTGTTAACACTAAGTAGAGATTGCATGGATGCCCGTATTAAAGCTATAAAAAAGTCATTTGGATTTTCTTCTTTACATGTCATCATAAGCTAGCTATGAATAGCTACCCGGCATTTTGTTTGTTTCCAATTAAGCACAAAGCTACACGATGGGCTATCTGTCCTCTGCCCACCACGGAATATCGAAACTCGAATTCTAGCGTTGTAAGTTCGCAGACATTCCGCTGTGACACTGTGGGGCGTTACCTGTCATACTCGCTCTATCTCCGGTGTATATGCTGCTTTTCAGCTATAAAGATCGCCCCAAAGTTGAAAACCAGCAAATAGCCAAAATCTAGGTTTCTTATTTTTGTTCATCATCTTTCTACAACAGGCCTAGCGCCTATCTAGTTCTAGTAGTAACTATTATTTTATAGAGCAAAACAGTCTTCACGATCTTTAACTACCTATTTTTGTGTGCAAAATTTGTAAAGATTCAGAATAGACTCTATAACCTAATAACACACGTACCTCATCTTATTAAAAAAAAACTATTAAGAAAAAAAACATTATCGATAAATAAAAAAAGCTATGTAATACTGGCTACTGAACTTGAAACAAAAAAGATAGGGATGGAAGTGGACATATCACTTAATGCGATTAATGATCACATAGCAACCTAAGCTGTCTCGACTTTAGATGGAGAATAGAATCCCTATATTACTGGCTTCCTCACTGGCAGAAGAACTAGAACCAAAATTTTCAATCGTAAAATATTACTCTATTGTAAAATTGTCATAAAAGTAGTATCCTATAGTTAACTAAAGGGAAAGTATAATGATGAAAGCTGAGATTATATTCCAAAACGTAGCTTTCGGTAGAGAAAGTGAAAATTCCAGACAGCTTATTCTGATATTTGATCATAAGCCGATTGTAATATTTCCGTCCTATCTTTAGTTCCTTTTTTTCAAATTCAATAGCCAGCTCTACCTAGATTTTTTCTATTTAGCGATAAACTTTTTTTTTGTATTTGTAAGTATTTAAGGAAAGTGTAACTGCTTTAACTCTTTTGTTTCAGTAGGCATATGCCACTAACATATACAAATATTTGTGTGTCTGAAAATTGCTGTATTAAATAAATATTCTGAGAAATACGTATATGATAAAACCAATATTATAATTCACTAATGTTGAGTGTATTGCATGTTAATCAACATAATTTTTTTAAATAAATGTCCGAGTAATAATTTGACTTAACTTTCTCACAGTCAGAATATAATCCCTTGTGAAGTATTTCGGACAATAATGTCTAAACATTTCTTGTTGATATGAGAAGTAATAATACAAACCACAAGTCAATATGTATATTGTGATAAGCTATATTTCCAGTGTAGTAATTTAGATTGATAGAGGGCGTATGACATTAATATCAAGTTAGTTCATAAGAGTGGTCCTAGAATACATAAAGTTCACGATGATGTCGTAATTTCGACTAATACCTAAACGTGGGTGCATCGGTATAAATACAAGTAATCATTGAAGTGTTGGATAAGAATTTGTATAGTGAAAACACCAAATTTAATTGAATAGTTTGTTAAACATAAGTGTATAATAAATTGATACTTGAAAGTCAATACATAGGACAGATGTACAGCAAAATTATGAACCAGTTAACTTGTTTCGAAAGTCGCATTCTGAGAACCATGCAACTGATGATTTTTTATTACCGTTTCTAAAGGTAAACAGTTTTATTTGCTTTATCAGGATGCAAGGTGTATACAGTTACTGATTCTTTATTATTAAAAGATAAGTAGAATTGAAATAAAACATGTTTGAGTCACCTCAAAGTAAAGTATAAAACTGTGCTCATCACTTCTAAAGATTGCCATTCAGTATTCGTCTGAAAGTAGCAGACAAATTTAAGTTAAACAAGTTCTAATATTATAATCTTGGAAATCATAGGAGATTATTCAAAGTATCCACACCTGATTTCAGGACGGGCTGAATTTTGTCGTGAGTATAACCATTAAAATTACTCTATTTTAATCCTAAACTTCAATGAACAAAAATGGCGCCATAATATCTTTGAATCTTAGTGTTATGTTTTGAGCAGCTACGTTGGTAGCTCAATAGGTGTTAAGATGTTCAATTTAAGAAATACAATAATTAAAACTGACCACTTTCGTTACCGAATGTTAGTATAAAAACAAAACTTATTTACGTTACGGAAAAAATATGCAATTGTTATAATGGAGCGATCTTTTCCTCATCAAAATGTTTTCATTAAATATTGCAAAAAAATCTCAATCTGCGCAAATAATATTTAAAACATTGTACTTGCTTATACATATATATTGTGTGTGTGTGTGTGTGTGCATGCATGTATGTTAAAGTAAAAAAAAAAACAACTGAATCTTTAGTTAATCCGGACTTGTTCTAATTGGAGATCGCTAGTGGTGAAGCATGTGTTTGTTGACTATCACTTTTTTAAATGAAACATTGTCTAGTTCTAACGTAGCGTGTCTCAGCGACGAGAATAAGCCTTCAACTTCCACTGTACAAGCTGTAGGTCACTATATTCTGGTGACCATGACGTTATTTCGACCTACGTTTGTCCTTCGATATACAAGTTACTCAACTGCACTATCCACGGTACACGACATTTAGATGTGATTTGTCAGAAATTATTTATGAAAGAATTTCACATTCACAACAGACTTGTAACCAACGCTGTTTCTATGTAAAAACCATTATACCGTAGATAAGAAAAACAAGTTATAAGAATGGGTTGCGTCATTATGACCGTTATTCCTTGCATAGCATCACGTCTACATACGAATATTTAAAGCGATTTTAACCTTCACCTTACTGACTTGTTTTTATACTGTTTGCTGCCTGTGTGGGTCCATGTATTACATCACATTAAGTTATTTTATGTTTGCTTTGTGTGTGTGTGTGTGTGTGTGTGTGAAGCATAGTTATTTCTTGTAAGTTATATAGCGGGTAACCGTAAGTACAATCATCAATTCAATTTGCTAAATATGTTTTTCTCTATTACTTGATACCGCCACTAACATATCCTGATACCGCCACTAACATATCCAAGCCATACCATTTAAAGACCTCCCCCCAAAAAAAAGAATAAAACTTGTACTCGCACTAGCATTCTTTTATAGTGGGTTTGAAAGAAAAACATTTCAATTAGTATTGTTGAGCACACTAAAATTAATTTCTCAAAAAATATTGTCACTATTGGTAATGATCCTATCTATTGTTACCAGTTTTTAACAACTGACGCGAACATTATTACAAAGATGTAGAGCAGAATTAATAGAAAATGCTGTTTCTCCTGACAGTTAAAATACAGGACGATGTTATATGACGCTTCTCTCCTTTATTTAATCCTTAATGATCTCGTCAGATGCTTATTGTATATCATTCTTTATGAAAGGTGGTAATAACCGACTAATTCGACTGATTAAATACTCGTATCTTTAAAATTCAAAGTCAGGTATCTAAAACAAAGTGGTAAGTTACCCATTTCAATGTTTATCCCACTTCTTGAACAAAGAACGTTTCCAGTTAACGCGCAAAACATTACAGTAATCAACCAGCCAACTCTCGGTGGTGGGTGTTAACACACATAATGAATCATCTTTATACAATAAGGTCCGACGTTGTGGTAGACTTGTAGTAGATGTTGAATTGCAGTTTTGTATTCTGTTTCTTTGGTGTAGTATTTTTGTAAACGATATCCTTTAGAATCCGTGAAAAACAGCCCTGCTAAAAAGACAACAGATCTACA